TGAGATAGACCAGCTCTTATCAGAAGAGTCTGATTCCGACACTACAATATAATCAATATAATCATGTGAATCGAGTGTACTCTCCTCTTATGCTTACATTATATTGGAGTCTGTCCTCCACACAAACAGCCAGTTTTCTATGATATATTTGTGATGTGTTTACTTAAACCAGCGATGGAGTGTATTCATTGATGTGTTATATCAGTCTATCCTGTCATTTGTTTTTATTGATCAAGTATGATCAAAAGTGGGGAATGTAGTGAACATTTTATTGTATCTGATGTTTGTTTGAGGCCTCGAATAAACATCACCAGAAAGACAACTCTGTCTGATTCACCATTTATTTGTTTTGATCACTTTGACTTGTACTCTACAGTATTGGGGCTTTTGGATTTCCATAACACCATCTCATGGTTAAATCCTGTAATTGAACAAATGGGGAAATTGGGCAACGCCCTCTAGTAATTTGGCAACACCCCCAGCCACTGGCATCCGCTGGGCTTTTGACTGGGACACACCCATCTGAGTCTGATCTGGAGTGCTCCATCTGTAACAAAAGGATTCTCTGGGTCCTGTTGAGACCGCAATATTCTACGGGGCATGTCGGCGACTTCACTGTCGCTAAGTTCCGTAATGACCCCTGTCAGGGTTATACTCTTTATTTTGTTTTTTCGGGGCCTGCATGGGTCTTGGCCCTCTCTCACGGGTGACGATCTACCCCCTTCACTGCCAGGGTACCCTGTGTCCCTTTCTCCCCTTGTGGCTCCCTTATCGTCGTCATCACTTGACGCCCCCTTCCCACAGGAAGGGGGACATCCGGTCTGTGTCTTTCGACCATGGAACGGAGAATCATTGCTACCGTTCTCTTTATATCTTAAAGGGGAAAGCTGTCTTTCCCCTGGCCTTTCTCCTCTTTGGTTATCACCCCCCTTCGCTGTGCCTTCTATTTATTTCCCTGCTCCCTTTTCCTTGCGCCCGTCCTTGTAGGGACTGCCATTCTGTCCAATCCCAACTGTCTACTTGCTCTTGTCTTTTCTGCCACAGTAATTGTTCATATGCCATTTGTTTTTTGTTCTCTTTCTCCCAGTCATCTTGCTGTTGTATAATGAGCTGGACTTCCTCTTCTGTAAGTACGTTTTGATTGATCTCCACTGGGTTTATGGGAGAAAGCAATTTCGGAGGCATAATCCCTCCCTTTTGTCCTCCCCCTCTCTCGGAGCCCGAGCTGTCTGGGTCTATGCGGAGTTGTTTTATCTGTTCTTTAAGTTGTTCCCTATCCCCCCTATACTGTTGTTCTAACTCCCTTTCCTCAGGGTTGTGCGTTCTTGGTCTTCTAGGAGTGGACTTTTTTCTGAGAGGGGTCAGAGAAACCTTTCCCTGCATGTTGTACTGGCCTCCCCTTATTTCCACCCCGTCCTGGCTACCGTCTGAGTCTTCACCATTTGTCCCTACCATTTATAGATTGGACATGGGAGGTGCGTTCGGGGCTGGTGAGGCGTAGGGTGGAGGGTCGAATAGACTGGGGTAGATAAGCGGGGAAAGGATAGGGACATATGGGTTTGGGGTAGGTCCGGGCTGGGACTTTTCCTCTTTATTTTTGGTTGTAGGTGTGGTCTGGACCGCCACCGTGGCTGGGGTAATTCTAGTACCCGAGGGAGGTTTTACTAGGGCACAAGTTACCGCGAGAGTACTCTCCGGAGGATCTGCTATGGTTACTCCGTTCATAGCTAGAGCCGCATTATGGCAGATCCTCCTTAGTTTATCTACTGAATCCTTTTCTTTGTTTAGTTTGGCCAAGCCAAACAACCCAGGTTTCTGTTTAATTAAGTCCTCTAACTTTTTTTACCAATTGTCTCTCATATGTGTTTAGAGCCAATGCGAGATTCCCAAATGTCTCGTCTCTGCCCACCCTATCTTCGTTTAGCATTTTATTATGTAGGAAGTGGAGGTCGGCGGCGACCTTCTTACTGTCGCTCGGCTTAACCCCGCTAAGGAGCAATCTCTCTGCCTGACACCATTGCTGTCGGAGACTCCCCGGCATGGGGGCCCCTAACTCTCGTTCCTCTCGTTCAAATTCTCTGTGTGTGTGTGTGTGTGTGTGTTTCTCCCTTATATATTCTACCTAAGGTTATTTGTGTTCACCTTTTATACTATATATTCACAGAAAATGATTCCCCGTACAGTCTATCCAGCTTTTATAGTGCAATGTATATTTCAACAGATGGAGAGACTTCCAAAAGCACTTCGACACCCCCTTTCGGCGATATGGCTTTTGCATGGAGTCGAAACCCAAGTCTACAGAATCTCTTTATCGTCACGTTTAGCCTTCTAGATTAACCCCACAACAAGAGTCTGTGAGAGCCGGTCGTTTCAAAACTGTATTTTTTTTCTCCTCTAGTGATCACCCACATATAACACAACTGCAGCTCCTCTTTGAGACTGGTTTGTGCTAATCAAAACTTAGTTCCTATGGAGTCTTTAGAAAACCATGAACTTTTTCTACTTTTAACGAGTTAGCCGTATGGTCCTGAAAGACCTGCGGGGACTTTCACCTTCTTCTTACACCCCTCGTTCTTTTATTCTTTACAAAATATTTTATGTATTGTATTTTTTACCGTTAAGACTATGACACTGGGAATGTCCCTGACAACTCTAAAATTTAGATTATATAGCCAATCACAGATTTTGATAGTAACAGGTATCTGCTAACTTGTTAGTTGTAGGGCGCCCTGATTTTAGTTGTCAAAGATATTCGAGGTGTCTTCCCTGGACCGTTCGTCCGCTGGCTGCCGGTGTTCCGTCTATGAGTCCCTACTCATCACGTCTGGGTCACCAGCTTGTTGGAGCACCACCCAGTGGCGTGGTTGAAGGTTCGACTCTGCTCCGCGCCGATCGTTGATGAGTAGTCTTTTCAAGGAAAGGACTCGAACACCGAGGTATGAGATAAGCAATGAGCTGATTTAATGGTAAAAGCAACAGTACAAAATACAGAGTACTCCGGGCTCAGTTCTACCACCGTGTGATATACGTATCAGGACGGTCAGTCAGAAAAGGGGCCCGAGTGTAAGAATTCAACAGCATATTTTACGAAAACGTGGGGAGGAGTTGTGTAGGTTGCTCCTCCCTAGCTATTTGTTATTGGCGATTTCACTTCTGGGCGAGCCCTAGACAGTGAGTTGGTAGTTCTCCATTGGCCGGTTTCACTCCTGGGCGAACCCTAGGCAATGAGTCAGCAGCCGTTTACTCAGTCTGGTTCGCCCCATCTCCTTACATTAGCTAACACACGATATCACATGTTCTGCCTCTGAATGCTATACTTGTATGTTCCAGATATGGAAAGTTTGCTTATCTCATGACATCCTTTAGGAGTGGTCAACTAACAAAGGTTAACTGTTTTTATAACCTAAGGCCTTCTTTGAACTTCCTCCAACCTCGATGTCAGCTCACTTAAAATTAATACATCTATTGATAATTCAGAACGACCATTGTCTCTCTAACTGTGTGTGACCCAACTCCGTAACACACATCCTATGGAATATCATGTGACATTAAATGAATATACCAGAAATACGTTGTATTAAACTTTCTGCTATAACACTATAGCTGGAAACTGTGAACACAGGTTACTTTACTCGCCGCCGCGTGACAGGGCGGCTGCAAATAACGGCCTGCGCGCACATTCAGGTAGGCTCGCCCTGATTGGCCGGCTACGTTTATGCAAATTCAGTGTGTGAACGCTTGTGTATCATTGATGAAGAGTAGTACCCATACGGTCCAGTAGAGGGCTCCGCCTGTGCTTATAGAACTAGGGTTACAATACGTAACCCACTGTTCTCTTAGCCTTTTAAAATAACACATCTGTACATGTCTATCTGATATTCAGTGCTGCAGTAAGAAGAGCAACTTTTAAACATTAACGCATGTAACATGTCAAAGTAGAGGCACAAAATAAAATTATGAAACCTGAAAATGAGCATAATAGGGACCTTTTAAGGAAGTCATTGTTTAGCACATTCACGTAATTTAATGGAATTTATCATGCTGTAAGCAACATTTTAACTGGATATAGTTACTAGGGAATTCCAGTAATATTGAGTTACATGACAAGATGCAAAACATAATGTATGACAGTATGATCATAGATTGTTCAAATGCAAATCATATACATATTTGAAATACAACTATACAGACAACAGTACTTAACTGGAACGGTGTGTTTCAGTTAGACTGTGAAACTGGGTGTGGCCCCTAGGCCCCTAAGCCTATCACGTACAATGTGTTGGAGCACTAGCCTTTAGAAGCACGAGTGTAACATTGTGATGTTACTATGTAAGAAGTGAACAAAGGAGTCCAATGGAGGTGTTTCAGGCAAGGGGGGAGTGTGTGGGAGAGTAACTCCCTCTGAAGGGAACACAGGGATTTGAGCCTTTGCAGTCTTTTTTTTTTAAATGCACAAAAACGTACATAACTACACGACTACTGGAAAGGGAAAATCCCATGAAAATCCCCAAAAACATAGTACGGCCCCTTTTAAATTAATGCTTATAGTCCAGATTTACTGTGAAAACACAAAGAATTAAGTCCTGCAACTATTAAATATACAGAAAATAATTTAAATGTCTCTTGTTTTCCTCCATAAAACAGTGGCGTTATGTAAGAAAACTGGAATCTAAAGGGTTAAACATCTGAAAATAAATAATCTTTATTAGATTTGTATAGCTTTAATCAGGAACAAGGTTTAATGGCTTCAAGGTTCGCAGTGTAAGTTGGCTGGAAAATATGAAAATCTTTCCGGAGTGATTTTCTTCTCTTAGGGCGCTTATTCTCCCCTTAGCATGCTCTGTCCTGACCTTAAGTTGGCCTACTGTCAATCACTGTGGCATTTTACCAAGGTTATTACTGCCAATACAAAAAGGAAATACTTATATATAGCATAACACATTATATCAGCCTCTCGTTCTGCAGACAGATTAGAACATAAAGCGCTTGTTGTCCTCAAGTGAATTGTAGAAACGTTTATTGAGGTTAGTGGTAGATATACGGGGACAGACATTTACATTGACATTTTTGTATCCCAACACATCTGTTTCTATTCAACTGAATCAACCCTAATTTTTACCATTTAAAAAAATTGTATAACGTTACATTCGTAAACATAGCAAAATATGCAATTATAGATTTTAGAATGACATTAATAACACATAACATCATGGACAGGGAGCCTTTAAAAAACCTTGTACCCAGCATTTTACCATTAACCATTCATTCAAGAGCAAATATAAAAACATTTGTAAAAGTAGATGAAACATGTTTAGATCAGGTCCCATTACAGAAAAACCAAAGTGCAAGTTAGTGGAAACAAATGAACAGAACAAACAATTATGTTTTGTTTCTCACAAACATTAATTTTGTAATACACACAAGATTATCTAGAAATCAGCTTTGAATTTAAATAGAGCACCTCAAAGATTATATGTTTAGAATACCTTAACTTTTGACTGTAATGCAGTCTACCTTGAAACTATATTTGTTTTACTGAGGTGGAATGTGCAGGTGGCCATTGAGCTCAATGTATTAAAAATATCGACTATCTCCTAATTACTAAATGTAATTGTGTCCATTCTGCATGCCACATAACTTCTGCCGCAAACCCTATACTTTCTGACGCTAACCCTATACCCTATCAGTGCAGAATAAGTTCACAAAAATACTTGATGATCAAACGCGCAGACCACTGCGCCACCCGTCCCTATACGGATACGCTTTAGGGAAATAGAAGCAGCTATACGAACATGCATCTACATGTAGTTTAATTTCTTGTCAAACTGCTCACGCACACCCTCCACAAATAAACATAAATTGACATACAGAGTGTCTCTTGTTAAAATATCTGAGGCTGCCTTGCCGGAAGTTTGAACTCTATTTTACAGTTTCCATTCCTATATTATAACTCAGTGAATTTCTCCTGCACCAACACCTTGCGGTAGGTGGGGGTTTTGCTCTCTGTGGTGCTAGAGGAAGTCACCACGTTGCTCTGAGAGCCAGCAGATGTTTTGCACTTGCTATAAAGGACCTTTTTAGAGCCAGAGACGCCATTATTTTGAGACAGACCTCCTGCCTCCTGGACCAGATGCCCTCCCTTGCTTTGCCCTCCGACCACCAGGACCTTCTGAGATCCTGAAAGCCCCCCTGACTGCAGAGTGCCCCCCTGCATGAGGAGGGTCTGACTGCCATGATGCCCTTTCATTGTCCCTGTAGGGACTTTTCCCTCCACCACCATCATGGTCTGGGAGCCAAAAAGGTTGCCAGTGTGGATGAGGTTGCCACCACTTCCATGGATACCGTTCCCATCCAACAGCACCATGCGTTGGCCCCCGGCTTGCCCGCTGGACATCATTGTCTGTCCCTGAACAACCATGCCTTGGGCATGTCCAGTCTGGGTGCCGTTGAGCAGTACCATGCCCTGCAGGTTAGAGGTTGGTGCATCCGCCAGCATCACAGTGTTCTGAACCTGTGGCTGGACTATGTACTGCATCTGCTGCAGCACAGGGTTGGCGGTGGTGTAGTAGACGGGCTGCGGCTGCGGCTGTAGCAAAATCATCTGGCCTTGATTCATCATCCCTTCATTTACTGTGGTCCTCCCCGTGTTCACTGTGGTCATCCCTTCATTTACTGTGGTCCTCCCTGTTTTCACTGTGGTCATCCCTTCCATTGCTCTGGCCCTGCCATCCTTCACCACCTGAGAACGTTCAGATTTTTCCCTGACCACAGTCTGAGGGGCGGGCGGCTGCACCTGGGACGGAGGAGGCATCTGTTGGGTCATCACACTTGATGCTGAGGTGTGAGTGTGGATGGAGGGACTAGGCTGAGGAATGAAGGCTGGTTTGACCTCAGTTTGGATCTTCTTGCCTCCGCACACCTCAGCCAGGGTCTTGAACTTCATGCCGAGGTCATCGAGGAACTGCAGGTCGTTCTCGGACTCCAGGAGGCTGCAGCAGCCCACTGATCCAGCTAGGGAGCCCTGACCCTCGTAGTCATAAACTAAAAGGCCATCCTTCCCTCCAAGGTTTTCGTTTTCGCTTCTCACCTTCTGTTTAAAAAGAATAAAGAAATGATAAATAAGGTTACCTTTATTTGTGAATAGGTTCCCCAGTAGACTGCGAAATATTTGGTTTTAGGAAAGACATTTGCAGTGGTAGTAGAAGTAACAAATATTTCATTGATTTCTCACCTGACCGTAGTACTGTCCCAGAAAGTAGTCTGGCAGAGCCATGCCATCATACATTCCTCCCCCTCCTCCTGATTCTCTGCTCTCAAACTCTGAATAGTAGCCTCTGCTGCTGGGCTGATTCCCCCATGTTTCTTCTCTCTGGGCTCCTGTGAAACCTTCTCCATAAAGAGCTCCGTTCATCCCATCCATTGAAGAGACAGATTTGTGGAAACCCATACCTGCCATGGGCGCCACTGCAAAAGTGTTTTTAGCCATGACCATATTTGCATCCTGTTGTACGGGCAAATTCAGTAGCGGCACCTCCGTGTTCTCGCCTTGGCCCTCAGTGCGGTAGTTAATGAGGTGAGATTTGGTGTCGAAAAGGCATCTCAGTAAAGCCTGCGGCGTCCCCACATTTGCAGAAGAGCAGCAACAGAAGTAAGACTGAAAAAATACAACAGTTTTAGTCCAACTATAAGGTTTGTAGTGTGAACAGAGCCAATAACCTTCATCCCATGAGCATCTCATCATACTCACATAGTAGCAACAGCAGACCCAGGAACAGCAGTCCGATGCCTGCAGGTCCTAACTCTATGTCTCTTTTGCTCTGACCATTTTTGCCTTGTTCTCCACACATCTCCCCATCCTCACAGGTGCACACTTGGATCGTCACTTTCTGTGGTTCTGGACAGGCCTGCCCTTGCTGGTCCTTCACCACAAAAGTCACCTCGTATAAACCGGGCCACAGGGACTCCTTGGCCCTCAGAATGGCTGCAGTGTCTGCAGGCATGAGACGAACAGATGATGAGTGTGGCAAGTCAATATGTTTTCTCTAATATTTTGGATAAAACTCTAAATTCAAATGTGTTTTTGAAATGACATTAATATGTGGTAAACACTGACTCATGTTGACACAGAGCCTGTTCTAACTATCTTCATACTTCAGTGTGCATATCTATTTGGATGTTTTCAGGTCTATTTACATCACGTTTAAATCTTCACCGTATTCTCCTCACCATTGTAGTGCTCCACCTGCCATTTGCCCTTAGTGACCTCTGGGATGATTTCAAAGACAAAAGGAGCTCCATTGGGGAACAAATCGTCATCTTTAGCCTCCACAATAACGGCATCATGAGGGGTACATACAGTCTGGAAGTCACTGGTTAGCATGGGGCAGTGGTCGTTGAAATCCTCCACCTGGATGGCTACTGTGCCAGTGGCTGTTTTAGAAGGCATGTCTGTGTTGGAGAAATAACCAGAAATAAAAACAAATCATTCATTATTTCCTTTGTTTCCTTCTTTATTATACATACACAAGTTCAGAGACAAATGCATCAGTCCTTCTTCTGCTAGTGGGCAACGAAGGTCTCAATTGCTTATCGCCCAATTCATAAACATGCAGTGGCTGGATCGTTTTTAATGAACCTGTTTAAATTATATTTAAGCTTAAACTTAGGCATAATTATGGTATTGGCCACTTTGAGTGACAGTCGGGTGCTGTCATAGGTCGCTAACCAACGGCTGTTGTCCCCCTGGGGCCCACCTTAGCTTCTACAATGCTTCACTTTGAAACATTTCAGTTTAAGTCATGACCAGAGTTAGACTTTAAGCTTGATGTGTCATACTTTCCCACAGATCATGTTCACTTAGAATACTAGCATTACATAAAAACATCTGATGCTGGGGATAGATACAAAGTAGGTGGTACCTTCTGTAATGCAGAGTACTTGAGCAAAATACGTCCCGTTGATCAGGTATGAAGACTCTCTATCTGGCATCTTGTTCAGTTTGATCTCAGCTGTCTTTGGGTCAATTGTGAGCCAGTTGTCAGGATCTGAGCCTTTAACATACCTACATCAGAGGAACACTGTGTTAGGTATTATCATTGAGTGTAGACAATCAAGCTGATGTTGTACTTGCAGATTTTTTCATTTGTATGTGTGTGTTTATGCACTGACCTGACATTCTCAGCTGCTTTCCCAGTGTCTCCATCTATTGCGGTGTAGCTGCCAATTACTTCATTAATGCTGACAGAGCCTCCCTCTGAGATGGGAATAGCTTTTACTTTGGGGTCAAAACTTGGCCCCTCTGGCTGGTTCTTCACATTGATTTTGATGGGATAGGTGTTATATGTGGTTCCTGATCCACCACCTGAAGCACTTGTAGCACCTGAAGCACTTGTAGCACCGGAACCGCTTGAACCACCGAAACCGATTGAACCACCGGAACCACCGGAACCACCGGAACCACCGGAACCACCGGAACCACCGGAACCACCGGAACCACCGGAACCGCTTGAACCACCGGAACCACCGGAACCGCTTGAACCACCGGAACTACCAGAACCACCTGAACCACCGGATGCCCCGGATGCCCCTCCAGATCCACCATAAGGTGCAGCCTTGTTCCTTACAGCCAGTCCAAGTTCAAGGTTTTCCACATCCTCATAATTCACAGCCTGTCAGATGGCACACATACAATGAACAGAGATTCGTATTAGCAACTATAAAAAGGGGCCCTAATTATGCAAATGTCCAGGTTCATGTTTGTATCTAGTGCCTGCGAGGCTCCACTAGCACCCCCCCCCACCCATCCCCGTCGAGGCGAAAAGAGAGGGCCTCATCATATAACTTTGCGTGGGGCCTGATGTTGGCCAGGGACGGCCCTGCCTATAACACACCACTGGAAAGGGAAAACCCCAAAACATAAAAGACATATATTTTGTGTAAAGCTAGGACTGAGTGAAAGGAAGGACAACTACATGTTAGCTGTTCGTGTGTAAATAAGTCTAGCTATGGTACTCACAAATTAAACGGCTTAGCTGAAGGAAGCCTGTGTGTTCCTGATCACATCCAACAGTATCAGATACAGTGTGGCCAAGGTGGAACTCACCGAATCACTCATAAGTTTACGTTGTATTATTCTGTGTATCTTCAATGAAGCATAAATTATTATTAAATGTTAAATTATACAAACATAGCTGTTTCTGGACACTTCACGTTTGTATATATATTGCTCAGATGGCAGCCTTAGATGACACTGACTAATAGCCACCCTAAATGCTGACCTAAATGCCAATTCACAGTTTCACTTGTTTGTTTCTGAGTTAGTACCCAATTTGGTACCCCCATTCATGTCTACATCTAAAACTTTCATTATGGGCAAGCTTCTGTGTTGCTCACTCAGCAGTACCTTGTCGAGCATTAGGATGCCCTCGTTGGTTGCGGGGTCTGTTTTAATGCTGAAGTATCCGGCTTCATTGCCCTTGACGATGTCAAACACGGCTTCCCAGCTATCTGTGGCCCTCATGTCCATGTCCTCTGCTTTGATCCTCATCACCTCCACTCCCTCCGTGTTCTCCTCAATGCTGGCTTCATACTGCAAGTAAAACACATTATGAGATGCAGAATGTGTTTATTTGTTGATGCAGTTCATGTTGATATAGAAGAGTGTGAGTAAGAAATCTACCTCAGATTTTTCCAAAGTGGGAAGGTTGTCATTCACATCTTTGACATCAATGACAACAGTGCTGGTTGCAATGTTTCCGCCTGATGCACCATTTAAGTCTTGACCTTGGACCGTCAGAATGTACTGATCAGCTCTCTAAAATAAGAAAAACAGTCAAATTACTTACAGGCACCTAATCATATTGCTGTTGTAGAGGAAACTTCTGTGTAGCTATGCAGTGGGAGTCACCGACTCAGGAAGGAGACACGGGAAGAGCAGTAGCTTTGATGTCAAACACATGATGGTTTATTTGGAGTTAACGGCCGGAGGATTCACATCACAAGTCCAAGAGTCAGAGGTTCTGACTTCACGGTAGAGTTGCCACGTCAATTCTGGAGAGCCTCTCTCTTGCCAGCCCATCTAACTGGTTTCGCAGAGAGTAAACAACATATTTGAGGAGATAGCCTAAACAGTGTGGGAACACAGAGCTACTTGCCTCGGACACTTATGACCTCGAAGATTTTACCTTGGAGTCCACAAATACAGAGAAGGAAGTGTCCCAGTGTACCCACAACACAGACCATCTGTATCCCAGTATTGACCGGTCACAGAATGGGAACAATAACATTATTGGCTAAGCCGCCTGTGTCCTTAAAGAAGGTAAACAGACATCGAGGTTTGTCCTGTATGTTACTAATTGGCGTCTTATGATAATTATTTCCACAACAGCTGTGAGATGGGACCAATATAAAAGGTGTGCATTTTAAAGGGGGATCAATTAATTATAACTCAGTTTGCTCAGAGACGCAATGCTATGACTTCCTGCAACTGCCAACAGTTATAGAATTAACAGCCGCTTAACTTGGTAATGTCATTCAGAGTTAGAGTGGGGACCTTATCATAAATCTACCATGAACAACTTTAAAGTGCTCTGCCTGGGTGTTATATTCAATATTATATATCCACCAGAGACACTAATGACAGAAGATTTAAGAGCAGTGGCTGCAACAATCAATTTTGTACTTAGAGAAAAAATCATGTTAAGGTGTTGCCCTGGTGGTCTACGATAGATAGATCACCGAGAAGATATATCTCATTGAAACCCCAATAGGTTTTTTTTTAATTGTTTAATTAACTGGGGAATGTTTTAAATCCAAAATAGATAAATTGTGTTGCCTATGTGAAGACATAAGCATGCTGTAAAATCTCTAACATGCTCTGTTTTATTCAAGTTGTAAACTCTGTTGTGTCAATGCAAAAGTACATATTTTGCAAGATATGAGGTAATTACTCTGCACAAGTAAAGGTTCTTTAATCATCTAAATGGCTTTAGACAGCGCTACACAATATGTGGCTGCAGCAGGATTTTCCATCCACGACGTTTCCATCAACAACGTTCCAAAGTTTTCTTTGATGGCTATCGGACAGTTTGGGCCGACAAGGATTGCATCGAGAGCTTCACCATTTCTTAACCATGAGCCTGAGTCTTCGGAGGGTCTCTCTGCTGCAGCAGATGTTCCTGTTCCTCAGACGCTGTGTCTATGCCAGCGTTTCTCAAAGTGTTGGGTGTGCCCCAAGATGTGATAGGTGGGTCGCGAATGAACGCGATGAACGGGAGATTATTATTATAATTTTTCTTTTTTTTAAATACATTTTTTGGACCTCAGGCCGGAATCGAACCTGGGTCCTCGCGGGCGGTAGTGGACTGTTACAGCCGGAGACTCGCAACGGTGGTGGACTTTGACAGCGCCGCTGCGCCGGAGCCTCCGGAGCCTCGCAACGGCGGGTGTTTGCGGTGGCGGAAGCGGTACCCGGCCCACCTATGCCAGAGCCAGCGGCCCACCGAAGGCAGCAGCCCACCGAAAGCAGCAGCCCAACAACGGCAGCGGCCCACCGGGAAAGTCCCGAATCTCCCGATGGCCAATGCGAGCCTGCTCACTCACACACACAACTGAAACCAAAATAATTTGTTCATATGTACAAATCTCTCATACACACATGTGAAACGCTCTCACTCACACACACCCACCATACTTGCCAACCCTCCTGATTTTTGCGGGAGACTCCGGCGATCCACTAGCACCCCCCCCCGCAATGGTTTTGAAATGCTCCCGATTTATGAGGTCTCAAGGTTGGCAAGTATGACACACACACACACACAACACACACGCACACACACACACACACACACACACACACACACACACACACACACACACACACACACACACACACACACACACACACACACACACACACACACACACACACACACACACACACACAACACACACACACACACACACACACACACACACACACACACACACACACACACACACACACACACACACACACACACACACACACACACACACACACACACGCAACAGCATTGCAGTCGGAAAGAAAAGCAATGTGGAGCGTTTAACCGTGACACTCAGTGGCGTCGCCAGGCCTGGGCATTCGGGGCTTTGCAGACCAATCAGAGAGTTGCATGGAAATTGACGTGTGCTTGTGTCATTCAAGCTCGGCTCTGTGTGTGTGTGACGATAGCACATTTAGTGAGAGAGAGGGGGAAAGGGGGACCGATGCCAGCAGGGACCGTGTTGTTAGCATCTGGTTAGCTAGCTGCACTAACGGACATAAGGAGCTGTTTGTTCCACAACAAGCTGGAGGAGAGTCCTCTCCTGTCAGACTGAGAGACTCAGATAGTTAACTTTAGTCTAAGTTATCTCAGTGGGTCTCAAACGGTTTGGTCACAAATTATTCAAAAGATTATTTCCGCGGCACACCTTCATATGATCATTATAGTTATAAAAAAAATAAGAGAATAAAGGAAAAACAGGTATGAAATACTATATGGCAGTAAAACAAGAATATTTGTAAAATATCCATAAAGAAAAAGAAAATCCGTTTCATATGGGTGCTGAGAGATGTATCCATAGATCTCTTAATGTTGCTCTCAAAGTGCACCAGATTGATGCTTTTAACTTCAATATTTAAAAAAAAATCTTCCCGGGGGAGCATCCACCCGGACCCCCCTAGAGGAGGTTAGGTCCGCCCCCCCACTCATAAAAAAATAGCACTTTACCCCTGCCTATATGCCGTGAGCTGATTATCGAGCCTTCATTGTAACAGTCACGGGTGTACTATGTGTGCGTGTGGGGAGTGTTGCAGTAGAACATTCCACTGCGGCCGCCGCCACTGTGGGCTAAGCCCCGAATGTTTTCAGGTCCAGGCGACGCCCCTGGTGACACTTTTCGAAATCCCGTTTATGTCCCCCCACTTTACAAATAGGCCTATCTTTATTTTTATTTTTTAACGCAAGCCGTCATCGCCACGGAGGAGCACACAGCCTCTGTGAGCGAGCGAGACAGAGAGAGAGAGCAAGAGAGCTAGAGAGAGCACACCTTTATCTTTTTAATATAGCCTAGTTGTAAAAAATAAAGTAAGAAATCATTCCAATGTGTACTATATAGGACAGTAACAACAACAAAAAACAGTTTAAAAGGGGAGTGATTAGTAAAATATGCATAAATAAATAAAAAGAATACTATAGATAACATAAGATAAAAATAAACAAGTTTAAATGATTTGTTATTGGCTGTGATCACATTCTAAAGATGTTCTCTTTCATCTGAGTGTTGAGAGCTGTATCCATAAATTCATTTTGTGCTCAAATTGCACCAGATTGATGCATTTAACTTCAACATTTAAAAAAACAAATAGTAAAAGTAGCTCACGACTTGTTTTATTTTTTTAAAGTAGCTTTCATCCTAAAAAAGGTTGGAGACCCCTGTTATAGAACGATACATTTGACCATTTTAAGCTTGGCCTACCATTTTATTGGAGCGATGAGGAACAGGTGGGGCTTGAAAAAGCCCACCTGTTCAGAAAATGAATGACAGAAAAAGTTTGAGAACCACTGGTCTATGCTGTGCCCCAGTGGCTGAAATGACTTTTATTGCACATTTTAACTTACATTTATGTTTGTGTAAATTAATAAGATATGCATGCCAGAAAAAATATATACAACACTTATCTGTGGATTCATCACCTTTCACATTACACAGAGACTTTTGATACACTGTTTAGTCAAATGCTCAGTTCAGCAGCCGACATTATGTATAAGTCAACCTACTTTGTTGCTAAAAATAAACATTAAAAAAAGCTTCAACAACTAGATTGGAAAGGGGCTTGGGGGGCAACTCCACATGATTGCTCTCAAATCATCAACACCTTCATGATTGATTTTGCATGGTGATTGGATTAGCTGACATTGGTCATCTGATGTCCGTGTTGCCCTTGAGCAAGGCACCGGACATCCCCCTTCCCCCCTCACTCCCATTGCTCCCCGGGCTCTGTACAATAGCTGCCCACTGCTCCTAGTACTAGACTCCTGGTACTAGGATGGGTTAAATGCAGAGGCCAAATCTCACTGTGTGTGCTGTGTGACCCAGAGGTCGCGTTAACCGAATATTTTCCGTCTATGACAGATTTTTTTTAACAATGACGGACAAATCTGAAAGCAGTCCGTCATTTTGACAGATTAGAACAAACTCAGAACAGCGCCAAAGTTTCCCCGCAGCGAGGCTCCGGTGTTATGCCGTGTTATGCATGCCCTCCAAAAAGGAAATGATACCGTTTCCAAACCTAACTGTGCCGTACAAATCATTGAAATGTCTGTGAGTTGTGGCTTTACGCTGTGCACGCTCCCGCGAGGTGCAGCAGCCATGCATAACACGGCGCATGTGAACTTTCCCCCCCCGTTGACAGTTCACAAGCATGCTCCCCCCCCCCCCCCGTCGGCCTTTACACAACTCTGACGGGGGGGGGGCCCGTCAGAGTTGTGTAAAGGCCGACGGGTAATTCTGGATTTTTGACGGAAGTTTTACGATCCTGTCCGTCAAAATGACGGGCAGCAAAAAAGTCTAGCGCAACCTCTGGTGTGACCATTAAAGAGGGTGATTCCTTCTGATTATGATGGAGTTCGAATTGAAGTTCACTGCAATTGACATAATTGGATGCAATTCGTACTGTACCTCTCTGTCCAGGGCTGGGTTTTTGACAAAGACAGTCCCATCTTGAGAAATGCCGAACATCTCATCAGGTGGGCTTTGATCAAGGATAGTATAGGCGATCTGAGAGTTCTTATTCCCTGGTTCATCAGCATCAGTTGCCATTATTTTCATAAATGAAGTGCCTGTAAAAGAGGAAATAAGGAGGTAGAGCAGGTTGTCCAGAAATTGGAAGATCTGTTTTGCGCTTTGTATGGCAGAATATGTCTGAACAGTCCACAAACTTGAAAATAAATTGTAGTTTTGTTGTATAAAATATATATTTATATCCAGTAGGCTATTTTCACCAATAGACACAAAATACATTATCCTTGAGGCCTGAAGATTGTGTAAAGTATATGTTTACTCTAATATGTGTAGCTGACTTTGTTCACATTTAAAGACAAGGGGCTCGAAAGACTTGTAATTTCAGCCGATTACTGAATCCCATCTTTTATTTATATTGTATTTATTAAGGGAAAATGTACCAATATTTTAACACGAGCACTTTAGTCCATCATGTAAATGTGCCAAAGACAGCCATAAATGCTTCATCTGCATTCCTTGGCAGATTATTGGCATTAAAAGAAGACATAAAAGAGTACATAATCATGAGCACAATAACAGGACATAAGCACAGAAAAAACATGAGCACAATTAAAAACACATGAGCACAGTTTAAGCACAATTAGGCACATAATACAGGGGTCCCTCAGGGCTCTGTTCTTGGTCCCCTCCTCTTCTCCTTGTACACAAACTCGCTCGGATCAGTCATTAGCCCGCATGGTTTTTCATACCACTGCTACGCTGACGACACCCAATTAATTCTGTCCTTTCCCCGCTCAGGTCGTCGCACGCATCTCTGCTTGTCTAGCTGACATCTCTCAGTGGATGTCTGCTCACCACCTCAAGCTCAACCTTGACAAGACTGAACTGCTTTTCCTTTCGGGAAAAGATTGTCCCACACTTGACCTGACAATCAACATCGGCAGCTCTGTTGTTTCCCCGACTCAGACTGCAAGGAATCTGGGTGTGACCCTAGATAACAACCTGTCCTTCACTGCAAACATAGCTGCTACAACCCGTTGCTGCAGATACACGCTTTACAACATCAGGAAGATACGTCCCCAGCTGACACAGAAAGCAACGCAGGTTCTGGTCCAGGCTCTCGTAATCTCACGCCTAGACTACTGCAACTCCCTCCCGGCTGGTCTACCTGCATGTGCCATCCGACCTCTGCAGCTCATCCAGAATGCAGCTGCTCGTCTGGTCTTCAACCTTTCTAAATTCTCCCACACCACGTCGCTCCTCCGCTGCCTTCACTGGCTTCCGGTAACTGCTAGAATCCACTTCAAGACAATGGTACTTGCGTACCATGCTGCGAATGGATCTGGCCCTTCGTACATCCAGGACATGGTTAAACCGTACACCCCAGCACGTGCACTCCGCTCTGCATCAGCCAAACAGCTCGCTGCACCCTCACTGCGAGGGGGACCCAAGTTCCCATCAGCAAAAACATGTGGGTTTGCTATCCTGGCTTCAAAATGGTGGAATGAGCTCCCCATTGACATCAGGACAGCAGAAAGCTTACACACCTTCCGGCGCAGACTGAAAACTCATCTCTTTTGACTCCACTTCGAGCGATAGAATTACTAACAAAGCACTTATATACTAATAAAGGACTGGCTTATCTAAAGCCAGTTGAGTAGCACTTGAAATGTCTTTGTTCTATGAAACCTGATGTACATATATGATTCTGTTTTCTTCAAGTTTGTATTTTGTTGGTCGAACGCACTTATTGTAAGTCGCTTTGGATAAAAGCGTCAGCTAAATGCAATGTAATGTAATAAAGCCAACACCTTTCATGCGTCGCTCATTGTTTAGAGTTGGGTGAGAAATTTGAAATGTGAGAATGGGGTATGAATTGAGAGGCAACACGACTGCATTGTAAAAAAAAGTAAAAGAACATTGTCAAATGATATCCAATGGGTTCTGAGATTGCATTAAGGGCAATGCATGCTGCCTTTTATTCTTTGCAAATGGACTGCTTACTGCATACAACTGCATTAATATGCGGAATCTGTTTATAGAGATTCATACTTTTTTTTAAACGACAGTAGGCCTATAGTATTATTCTGATCGAAAGGTGGACAAGGCTGCTAATAAACACAGCTATGCTCTAACAATCGCAGAAATTAATAAGACTAACAGATAGTAAACATCACTGTTAACAAGCTAGCCCTGCAATCTATAACCGTTTATCATCAGAGGGTTGCTGATGGGGGAAACATGGATAGGTATCGATGTGAAATAAACCCTAACTCTTACCCCAATCCATTATTTAAGCAAACCATTAAAGATTGCATTGCCATCTCAAAACAGGATTGACATTTGTTAAAATTGACTAGAAAAGAAAATATCTTACCTGGAGGACTAAGCTCAGTTACCTCCCCGGCCTTCATGACTGCAAACACTGGTGAATTGTCGTTCTGGTCTTTTACTTTGAACCGTATGTCAACATTTTCCTCTGCAAACCTGCCATCCTTGTACTTAGCAATACCTGACAGCTAAAACAGTAGAGTAAAATGTTGCTGTCTTCATCAAATGTATTAGCAGTTTAATTTACAAACATGAATAGCCTGTGACATTGATGTGTTGCATCTGACTGTAATATATTTTAATATCTATGAAATGCACAGAAGAAGTATAACTCACATTATAAGTGTCAATTAACTCCCTGTCCAGAATTTTGGTTACACGAATGTCTCCAGTTATCTGGTCGACTACAAACACATTGAAGGGATGTTGGTTTGCGCCAATGCCTTCTAGGTAGTATATAATATTTCCGTTGCCGTCATCAAAATCCGAATGAATCTGAAACACATGCAGAGCTGATTCAGTTAAACACACTAAGTCACATTAACCATTCCACTGCACCAGAAGGAACCACAAAAACATGTTAACCGCAGGAAAAATAAAAATGTTTTAATATATCTTTCATGGTGAGAAAAACAACCAAAAACTCAAAATCTAATGTTATATACGTCTCAGAATGCTACTGTCTCTTCAAAATTGTCTGGCTTCTTGTGCTCTCTTTTAGAAAACTCCACCCTGCAGGTACAGACTTGTCTGTGGTAACTAGTCTCCATTTTGTTGAGCATGCTGACATGTTCCAGTAGCCCCCTCTGGTGACTTGTTTTTATTATATTTTTGCAGATAATAATAATAATAATAATTCATTTATTTTACATAGGCGCCTTTCAAGGCTCTCAAGAAACACACAAAAAACAAGATACACAATAGATAACACCAGCATAAGAAACATAAACAAGACAATGCAGTATATAAATCAATCAAATAACCAAAAAACAGAGGATGTGTGATGATAGATCTTTTCATCTCAGTGTCAGGTAAACACTCCTGAAACTTCTGAGAACCTCACTAAATGGTTATATTTATAAAAATATGATGCAAAAAATGCAATATATGATCACGTTAGCATTCCATCCATTCATAAGTATTTACACTTAATCCAAAATTATTGTATATTTGATAATCCTAACCCTAGTCCTTGATTTGTAAAGCCTTTCAGAGAGTTTAAATTAAAGAGCAATGACTCACCTTGGCAACAGTTTTCTCCTGAGTGTAGTCTTCATTTTCCATCAATTGCTTTGGCGGGGGAATCCATAATCTTTTCCTTCTTACCAAATTGTCTTCAGAGTTGGCCTTCACTACAGCAACAGTCTGCAGCTGTAAAGCAATAGATGAAGTCAAGAGTGTGAAAAATAAGGATGCAATCGTGTCAGACTGATTAGCACAGAGATGTTACAAACCAATAATCATCCAGGATGCTTACAAAAAGCCCAATGTACCTCTAGATCTGACTTCCTTTAAAACAGAAAAGATCATCTCTAGGACAGGAGAAGGTCTACATTTGTCACAGGATGCTGCTCTCTAAAAAATGTACTGAAAGAAGAATACACTCAAACTAGTTTCAACAACAGTTTCAAGATGGCCCCCACACTCCAGGACAATGGTGCCAAGCCATCTTCCTGCTAATAGTAAGAAATCAACCATCTATTGCTATACATACAATTAAAAAAAAGAATATTGTGCTTAACAATCAGTGACTTTAGGCCTTATTGTGTATGCCAACACATTACTGCTACAGTACGTTGTTGTGTACCACTTATCTTGTACCTGTGTTTGCTTTCACATAACTCAAACTAAAATACGTCAGAAAGAAAGAGTCTCAAAGCAATAATGCAATTAGAAAAGCTAATGTGGATTACCTCATGACTCTCATAACATAACAGCAATATGACAACCTCATGGTTGTAGATCTAGAAACCATCATTAACAACAGTCGGGTGGAGAACAATTGAATGTTGCTACAATTAATTTATGTTTTAATAAACACCAAATAGAAGCCACAGCTTATCCAGGACTAAATAAACGAATTGAGTTAAGTTCTTTCTTGAAGTTCCTGTGAAACAAGTGCCTGAAAATGATAATATACCTTTATTGTATTCTATTTTTATTCTAGACTGTCTTGATAACTTGATATAAATGTTAACTTATTCCGTTTCTTTTATCCTGTTCTTTCTTCTATGCTTTTTGGAGCCATCTAGTGGTCATACATTCAATTTACCACCAGGTGAATTTATTAGCTTTTCGTTCAGCTGCTTTCTTTATTATTATGAATAGTTAATGAAGTTATTATTTATCCATTTATCCTAAACTGGTCAACAATCTTGTCATTGTGAAATATCATTATTTCACATTGATTGGCTTTTAAAGAGAAAACACACCCTAGAAATTAGGACTACGGATTTACATCCATTATCTACATTTTCAATGAAACATCCGTTCGACTAACACAGGTGTTTCCAGTTATTCTGGTGGATTAGGGCCCGCCTTGTTTGAAATTGGTGGAGCTATGCACCGTCAGCCTTGACATTTTGAAGTGGTGTCATGTTCAAAGAAAAACAAAACAAACAGTCAATAGACAGTAGGGTGTCAGTTGAGCAGAGTCTATACATGCACAGACAGTCCTGAGATTAGGTCTGAACTTTGGCACCCTATTCATGTATCAAAAGAGGAATTGCATTAACTTTCTGTGAATTGTTCAGGGCGTAGCCTGCTGACTGTTGTCTGTAGTGGGGCAGCTAGGTTAAACTAATTGCATTTTGCAATAAAATAAACACATTTGGCACAGATACAGGTTTAAATGTAATGCAAAAATATATCTCAGGGTTAAACAGGGCTGAATATGGAAATCTGATTTTATGATTTTCCCCAGGTACAATATTTGTGTTAGGTTGTAAACTCCCGTTGGCTGTGGAATTGTGTTTGCAGGGCAGGATCCCTGATCCTGGGAAAAGTTTGTTGGCAAAATAAAAATATGTCAAATATTTAATTTGCAGAGCAATAAAAACACATCCAGTCATGCTACTTCTGCTAGGTCCGTTATTGTATTATCACTAGTAACACCTGTGACCTTCCACTTCTTGTTTTAACACAATATATAACACACTTATCAATACAACAAGGACCCATTATAGGACTGAATGCTATGTTCAGGCTCCAACTAGCCAACTCTATAGCCTACCATGGCTCACAAGAAAATAGGAAAATACAAGGAAAGTCCCGCCTTATCACCAAACAGCAAGAGCAACTGGCATTCCAACTTGATTACAAGACACCCCGATAAATCATGAGGTAATGAGGTCTGTGATATCTTATGTTCGATCAAAATCTCTCTTTTGCATTTTACACATTTGTTGGAGTGTTTCAAATGAAAGCCTGGTTTTCAGCCAAGAACAAAAACCTTAAGAAAACAGATCCCTCTTGCACCAGTGGCGAACCGTGTCTATCACAACTGGACCTTCTGTAGACACACACACCCCCCGCCGCCCCTCCCCCTCCGCGGCATGATAATGTCCGTCTTTTCACTGAATTGTCATCTTGAAAAGGTTACTCACAACAATTCCGCAACAACTTCACTTGTCGCACTTGTCATTTCAACGTTAAAAACAATAAAACGGCATGAATTGCTTCGTCACATTAATCTAGATCAGGGGTATTCAACTAAAATTCAACGAGGTCCAGTTAGAGAAAATCTCCCCATGCAAAGGTCCGGAACATCAACATGTCTAACTTTCTTTATGAATTAGTGTGACATATTGAAGTAGCCTGTAGCTTTATCAACGTCTGCATGTAATCAACAACTGACTGCCAATCAAATAAAGAAAGTACAATTCAAAAACAACAATATTTATTGTCAATTAACATTTAACTATAGATATACAGTAAATACTGTGGATATGTGTAATGTTCCTCTCTGGCTGCATTTAAAAATAAAATAAAAAAAATAGCTTTTGAAAATATGTGCATCTTAAAAGTGCTTAATTTTAGATAAATCAAATAAAGTGTAGCAGCAGATTGAGTTTCCCTTTTTCTTTGTTAACCGTTTCACATCATGACTTAACAGTTTCAGACGATTATAGAACAATATCAGTCTTTACACATCATAACAATTGAACAGTTTTAAAGTTTCTCTTTCTTTCCCTCTTATATTGCAGTCCCTCACTCACTTTTTTTTAATTCAGTGCGAGAATTGAGCTCCAGCTTGTCCTGCCAGGAGTTTAAATCTGGGCTGAAATGGTGTCAGGGCCATTCTCATACACACATGCAGGTGCTCATTGGTTAGCCCCGGTTAGCCTGCCCTGGAACGATATTTAGTTTTAATTTTGATCCTGGTGGACTGATCATATTGGGCTGTGAGACTGCTTATTTTTTGTGACCTCAGTTCTGACTTGAGAGGGAATGTTTTGTCTCATAGTGGCGTTTTGGCACTTTTATTGAGCACCACGGTCTCTGAACAAATTAGACACACTGGTTCTGTGCTCCCAGTGGGCAGGATGAACATGAATGAGTCCGTCCACTCAGGGTTAAAAGCTCTGTTCTCACTGTCCACTTTCCTCTTCTTGGAGAGCGCCATGTGTAAATATGTGTCTCTCCCTGTCTGCCGCTAACACGCCTGTTCACTCTCCTCTCCGCTTCTCTCCCTGGGCTCTTCTCACTTCTCTTATTTTTAATTTCCTCGGTCCTCGCCCTCGGTCTCACCGGAAGTTGATTTGTCTGCGGCATCTTGAGTAGCGTCCCAATGGCCTTATTTTTGCCGGAGGAGCGATAATGGAGGAGCTATAACCGAGGAACCACCAGACCATCCTTCGATGAAATCCTCAGACACTCGCCCCGCCCCCTTACTGTGTATCGCTCACTGATTGGACGATGCAGTGCATGCACTGATCTGATGCTTCTTGACATGAGAGCAGTTTCCCAGCGGAGTGAAGAAAATACATGAACCTCACGGGACTCACTCCTCAGTTTATACCGTGTTTTGTTTCAATTAATGTATCATTGTTACAAATATGTGATATATCTGAACAACAAAGTGGTCAAAACTCATTTTATTAATTTTTTGGAAACATTTTCATGATCGCTTTTTTCGTTTTACATTTTCATTTATTGTCATTTCCATTCAGTCAGTCATTAAGTGCTATTAAAATGTTAATGTGCTACATATACAAACAAACAAACAAACAAACAAAGTGTGCAATCCAATGAATGTTAATCTAACTGGGTTTTGATAGATAACATATCTCTTTTTCTTCTCTCAATTATTTTATTTCTATTGTGCACTCTAATCAATATTAAAAAACTATTGGTCGTTTATACATTTTAAGAATGGCGTTTATCTTTTTTGAGAATTAGTTCTTATTTTTATTTTATTTATTTGGGTCTACAACAGATGATACAAATGTTTGTGTCAGTAAATGTGTACTAACAGAGGCGGGGGTGTTTGTGGAAATAACGGGGACAGAGCTGCTGTCAGACGATCAGCTGTGCAGCGTCATCACAAACGGACGTCGCTTCACGTGACGCTCCGGAGGAAAGGACGTCCCATTGCTCTTAAAACTCATTTCCTTGCTTCTCGTGGTTTCCTTGCATCTCTCCATGCTTCCCTGGTGGGAGGGACTAGTCGCAGGGAAACGACGCAAGTGAGGGACGCAAGGAATCCATTTAACCGAAGTGAGAAGGGCCCCCTGTATCGCTAATTATTCTCTTCACTCACTTTCCTCTCTGCTTCTCTCTGCCGCGCTCTCATCTCTTCTTCTGTGTTTCTCTCCCTGTATCGCTCACTCGTCTCTTTCGCCCCCTGTAGGCGGCGGTTAAAATAGAATCGCCCCATCAAAATTGAAATCCCCCTATTAATGTATTGATTATATAGGTCCACGGTCCGCCTGTTGCCGACCCCTGATCTAGATCCTCTGTCTCGAGCCAGTTAACTAGCGGGCCTTCTAGAATACTCTGGAACCGAGGGAAACTCTGAAAGAATACGCCCATTGGCTACAAATCAATATGTGATTGGTTGATCAAACTGTCAGTCCAAACGTACGCTCTCATTCAGTGCAACGGCCAGGGCATTCAATCAAGGATGTAGAATACCTTGGTTGAAGGATATTCTACCCAGAGACCCAGAACAAGATCTGATTGGTTGCTTTCTTTTCTAACACAAAACCACTGAAATGCGTAGTGCATGGTCCGAGAAGGACAAACAAATCAACGTAACACTGTAATATTACAGATCAACAACATGGATACGATTCTCATTTATTCATTTTATATACATTTTATTTATATAATTAAATCGATTTTTTTGTTTGTTTTATCTGAGTGTTCCAGGGTATTCTCTGAATACCTTGAAGGCCCTGAAGGTTCGCCACTGTCTTGCACTGATACCACCCTAACCTGCTCTCCTCCGTTGCTAAAGAAAATAAGTAAACAAAGGAAACCGTACTTGATCAAGAATCATGCAGCATGAGAAACAACGGTTTTTTTATGGTATAGAGAGCAAACACAGGCAGATAACCCCAGGCAGCTGATTAAAGGCTTTAGATTAGTTCAAAAATCATTGAACCACTAGCAGAAGCTATCCATCAATGAATACACCTAAAAGGAATAAAAACAGAACATATACAAGATCCCCATTTATGCAGACAACATTGTACTTTTCACTTCAAATGGTTAACATTTTTGCAAATACTCTGTCAAATATATCATTGTTGTGGGAAGTCACTTGTATGTATTACAACTAGGAAGCTGACATTAGTGTTTTTTCCACGGGACACAGCATGAAGTTGGATACTATGAGACAAATATCCAACTGTCACTGTGTGTCAAGAGGAGTCATTGATGCACCCAGCCACTCCCTGGGGATTAACATGAGCCTCACCTGTTCGGTCATGAATAGGCCAAACAAGACAACACAACAGGTGTGATGAATATAGGGCTCAGATGACTCACCAGGTACATGTATGAAAAACTGCTGAGCACATATAACGTATTTATTCATCTAGGAAAATACCTCTAGGGACACTCCTATCCTTTCCTCACTTGAATACGTATTTAGTAATGCAAATGTGATTGAAGATGGTTTTGAACAAGCCCTCACTTGATCAACCTTTAATACAGTGCCTCGCAGAAGTATTCACCTCCCGTGGCATATTTATTGAATTAAAATGACATGTAATCAAAATCATTAAAAAAATTAAATAAATCAAAAATACTCCTGAGCTAGTAAGTGTCACAGCAGAAATCTGAGTATCTGTCCATAGAACCAATTTATGCCATACACTACACAGAGCTTAGCTTTATGGAAAAGTCACCCAAAAAAAAGCCATTGATAAGAAAAAGAATATGAAAACACTTTTGGATTTGGCTAAAAGGCATGTGAAAAAAAGGTACTCTAATATATATACTATAAGGCTGAAATGTTCATCAATGAAAACTCTTTGTGTAGCGCAAACACAACAACTCTCATCCCTACAGCAAAGCATGGTGGTGGCAGCATCATGTTGTGGGGATGTTTTTCATGGGATGGGACTGGGAAACAGGCCCAAATTGAATGGTGCTAAATACAAGGACAATTCCAGAGGAAAATGTGTCTGAGGCTAGGACGGAGTTCACCTTCAGCAGGAAAGGTGAACCTTACCGCTAAAGCAACACTTGAGTGGTTTAAGGAGGAATTATTTAAGTGTCTCGGAACTGGGGTCTTTTAATAATAATAATAATAATATTAATAATAATAGATTACATTTGTATAGCGCCTTTCAAGGGACCCAAGGCCACCTAACTTGTATTATTGTATAAGCCATTTCGCCACCTTTGCCACAAATAATGTTTGATAACAAAGCTTATAAAGTTATATCTATATTTGTACATTTACAAAAGCTACATATTGTTGCATGTATTAAAGAATGACAGTAAAGCAAACTGTTGTTTATTGTTATTTTTGTTATGACAAAAAAAAACACTGGCATGGGTAGGCAGTACTCTTAATAAAGAAGACTTATTTTGATTCCTACCCATATGCGGAATATAAATAATATAAAAAGTAATGATATGCCCGCATTCCTCAGTTGTTACCTCATTGACGTAAAGCAATCGCCCGAATCTGTACCGTATAACAGCGCTGTGTGTTTGATATAGTTTATATTAAACTCATCACAGAGTATGCTGCAGCTGAATTGTTGCCATTTTAATGGCCCAGTTCTTTATGGTCTTTAAAGACGTCAACTTCTTTCTGAACAATTTAGCTTTTTACTTTTTGAAGTCCGAAAATAGATGCTCTGATATTGTAATTCACGATATTTCTTTTGTATTCTCCAGTATTAAACGGCTTTCCATGCCTTAATATCTCCTGAGCAGCCAAAAAAAAGCAGTAGTGGTTGAGTTTCAAGACTTGATATATTGAAAGATTTTTGCTCTGCTCAGCTTTCTGGCTAAGCTCCGAAAACGATCTTATTAATTATTTTTTGGGATTTATCCATGATCATTTTACTGACATCGGGTGACGGTTACTCAGGATAAAAATCGCAGTGGGTAGACTTAGTAGGATGTGACACGCAGCCTATTTCAGTTGGCGAGTTTCTGAAACAGTTTTTGTTATTTCAGTAGTATCACCTCAAACTATAATAATAATAATAATAGGTGTTACATTAGAAATACTGTCCACTGTACAACAGGAGTTACATTTAAATAGGCAATATTTATGTCAATAGTTATCAAGGCTAAAGGGAGCCACTGCAGAGGGGCAAAAGAGCAGCAAAAGCGGTTTAAAGCGGTTGGCATGTTTAGTGTAAAATAAACAAGTAAGAAAAAAATCACTTTTCCTCGACCATGTTTCTGTTTGACACCACCATGGCAGCAGGTAGGTCTAAACAAGAAGTAGCTGATAAGACTAAGTAAACAAGTCATTCTGTCATCAGCGTAATATTATTTGGTTTACTGGGTTTGAATCTTTTTGACACAAGGCAGCATTCACAACAAACTTGACATTTTTTTAAACACAGTTCAGTTATAACAATAGAAAACATAGACAAATACATAACTCCTTCTGTACTCACTGTCAAAAGTAGCAAAAAGACGTGCGAGGAAATCCCGATCATGACTAGAGAAAGTCGCAGTGCTAAGTGAACCAAGCTTTATGAATCCCAGACAGACTGTGAGCTGATGGAGGCTAAGAGGAGGCTTATGAAAGAGGATTGCTCCCCCACACAAACACACCCTCAAGACATAAATACAGTGGTGTGTATGTGGGTGTTACGCAACTTACAGTCACTGAAAAACAAATGGTGGAATTTACTTGGAAGCTACAAAGTTTTTGTAGGTGTACACTTATCGTAAAATAAGCATATTGACAAGCTAAAAAAAAACTAGCCTTGACTGGTCTGTACCAGATAAAATGTGTTTCATACATATTAGCACAGCTAGCAAGCTACAGTATGAGTGTGTATTGCCTCTGGACTACCTGTTATTGCAATTTATAGAAATGTTATGTTGAATTTTGAGAAACATCTATTAGGCCTGAAGTAATAAAATCATTGGCTTTAAGTGCAGCACCAATTGTATGGCAATATAGAAAATAATGCAAACCCTGAATGAAGAAAATCATACCATCAGAAGGAAAGAGAGAGACAGGAAAGAGGAAACCAATGTATACACTTAGTGAGAGATGAATGTACAGTATTAAAAAAAAAGGATGCTAATGTTGGCCAGGTTCCTGAGACAGCATCATTGGGATGGGCAGATCATTTGCATATTGCAAGAATCACAAGCTCTGAACAGGTGCTCATTACAGATTGAGCCGTCTGTTTGTATGCTCAAGAGTTTTGACAGTGATGAACAGTCCTCCCCCAAATCAGAAAGTGAAAACTAGTATGTATCTTTAACCAACTGACTTTTTGTAGTTAAAAGTCTTTATCCACTCAAGTTTTTTCCCAAGTTCGAAAAACCTTTTGATGCATTATTTTGTAATAAAATCAAAAGGATAACCAGATATATTTGTCGTTGATTTTTATTTAGAAAATACAGTTCAACTATTGTATATCACAAAGGGAAGCAAAGTACAATCATTTGTACTTTAAATTCGTCCTTGACATGGTTGACATATTTTCCAAAGTGCTCATTTATTATCTGCTTGTAGTTCATTTGTAATAAGTGCTGGAGCCTGCATATCAACAACGTTTCCATCCGAACGTTTTGGGCTGACAAAGGAGCTTCACCATGAGTCTTTTGGAGGGTCCCTGGAGGACGTCCTGGCTTGTTCCTATGCCTAAGACGCTGTGTCCCTATGGCTACAAGATAACAGGTTTGTAACAGGTAATCCTGCATTTACCTCTGTTAATTGATCAGTGACTCATCTATATTTTTCAAATAGACAGGGACAAGATACAGCCGGATGTCAATCAGAGGATATGGAAAATTACAAGATTTCACATGTTGTTCATGTCCTTGCAAGCCTCCCAAGTATCTGGAGCACTTTCTGGAGACACAATTAACATTCTTCCCAACGTTGCAAGAGTAGAAAAAGGTAGAATCGGTATATAACATAACTACCATGTCAATCCCACAATATGCGCTGATGCTGTCACACCCAGAGAACTGACAGTGAAACTTGAAAACATTCAGTCCAAAATACGTGAAAAACAAAAATGTTGGAATTAGCAAATATTTTTACCAGTAGTCCCACATACAAGTCACAATATATAAGTTAAAATACACATTACACTAGTGTAAACGACAACATTCATTGTACTACAGTTTAAGATTGAATGCAAAGTGAAATTGTAGCTTTACGCCAGTTTGATGCAAATAAACATAAACATTGCTGCGGTTAAGGCAACAATGTTGCTATATGTGCAGCAGAGAGGGTTGGTTTATATACATACATTTCTTCTGCTTTGTACATGTTGTGGAAGACGCAGATACATGACAATACATTGACCTCTCTGGCTTACACTTCAGCGGCATACCAGGAATTTGAACAAGAAGAAAATGTATTTCCATGAAAATCTGTTTCCTGTCAACCCTGCATTGTCACCTAATGCCTCTCCTATTTTTGTATTTGTGTCGAAAGTTAGGTGGAGACAGCTTGACAGCAGGGTGTGGTCATTTCAGGTTTCAATAAACTGTTGTGGATTAAGTAGTAGATTGTTGTATTTCCATGTTATGCTTCTTTCTACTATTCCAAAATTGTCCAATATTGTAGTTTTTTTCATCACACCAATAAGTTAAAGCTTTACTTACGAGTTAATTTGTCTGTTTATATTATGTATCTATAATCTAAATCAGCAAACATATTTTTATATATTATTATACAGTACATTGGCCATATGTTATATTGAGAGTGAGCAATTAAGTCTCAGATGAGCGATAACAGAGCAAGACTAGAGCTGACTTGTGCTGAACTTAATGTTTGAATGAATAATTCAAAAGATAAAATCTGAAGTTTTAGTGGCCTAAAGATTAATATGTTTGATTAGTATGGATAACAGTGTCGATTATTACCTGGGAGCAAAACAGGCTTATGTTTCTTGCCTTTTTCTTTTTCAGGAGAAACCCTGAGCCTCTACGGACAAAGCTTTGGGGCTGTGCCGGTTAACAGGTAGAAAAAGAGGTTCAAAAGCAATCCCCAAAGCAAAGGCCCACCCTCAGACATATATAGGCTGTTCCTCTTCCACTGAGGATGCTGGAATATCTACAGTAGCCAGCATTAACATCAACTCTGAAGCTGAATAGAGGAAGAGCTGAAAGAGGAAGTATCAGGAAACAAAGAGATCCAGCAAGAGGGTTAGAAAGAGCCTCAGTTAGACCTCATCTGATGACAACACCTCCTCGTCAGTCAGCACTGCCCCTCGTGATCGAGGTTAGTTGAGACAGGAACAATTAACATTATCAAAATGTATCAATTTATTTATACCGATAAATCCCTTTTATCAAATTATATTTTAAATTCATAAAGGAAATGAAAGATCTGAACAAGTATAATCAGTGTATTTGTGTCTGCAGCTGATTTCAAGGCCAAGTACATTCTTTACCACACAGAAGACAATTTGGCTGTTAAGATACTACACACACCAGTGGCGGCCGGCCAATAGGGGCGCCGCCCCACCACTTCCCACATTCTAGATTGTCATTAAAAAATATTTTAATGAACAAGGTACATATTATATAGTTGGTGTCAGTTAAATGTATAATCTACAATAAAATATCGATAAAAATCGATAACCCTGTTTTACGATTTCTAAAGTTACCTATAATTCACGTGTTTCCTGTTTGGGGCGAAGAAATCTTTGCCCATAGACTCTCGTTATAAGTGGTGCATGGTGGTCCTTAGACAGCTCTTTAGTCTTGCCCATGAACGAATGGTTGGAATCTGATTTATTGATTCTGTTGACCGGTGTCTTTTATACAGGTAACAACGTTGATATTAGGAGTACTTTCCTAAAGGAAATTGACTTATTGTACTTAATTTAGAATTATTGTTGGTTGCAAGGGGATCAAATACTTATTTCCCAAAGTGTAATTCAAATCAATTATTATCTTTTATATAATGTCAATTTCTGGATTTTTTTTTTATATTCTTACTCTCACTGTTAAAATAAACCTACAATTACAATGATAGACTGTTCATATATTTGTAAGTGGGCAAACTTACAAAATCTGCAATCAAATACTTATTTCCTCCACTGTACATGTACATACAAAGCTCCATGATGACGGAGGAACTGGAAGGGAAAAAGATGATGATCCCAATTGAGGTAGTGCTGCTGCTTAAACTCCAGCCAGCAGCAGGAGAGACCAGTGCAGCGATCACCCTGTTGGACTGGTATAACCTTGGCTCAAAGCTCATTCTCTCATTATTTGCGTGGCTGTGTGTATGGTAGGGACCATACACAGGAGTGTTTCCTGCATGGGAGATACAGGGCTGAACCCATGACTTTATGGCAGATTGGTCAACAGCAGCTCTGACATCACCAGTGTTGACACTGTCCTTAGTAAGGTCCTATTGTGAGTAAAACACTTAGCAGTGTTGATGCTGAATCAAGCACTAACATTAATTATAGGGTGTCAAAGGAGCAAGGCCAAATGCCATTATGTCGCCAATCCCAGATAATTATCTTATATTGTAACACAAAAACATGTTTCAATCTTTCCCATCCACCACGTGCGTGGTTACACAGGAGGGGACGCTACATAGTTTGTTAGACAGTTAGCTTACGTAAACTGTGGAGCCTATTTTTATATAATATTACAAGAGGGATTCTTATTATTACATTATATGCTTATTGTGCTCATAAGATTACTATGACTATAACATAAAGACACAATCACTAATCCCAGGTTCTGATGGGTTAGATACCAACGAAGGGAATAGTCAGAAGAAAGTTTTCAGTTTGCAATACTAATGTAGCAAGGTCCAACCCTGTCTCCTAAAAATGACGTTCCCACAGAACTAAACTGCATTCTGAATTACGTTTAGCTAGAAACGTATTTACTCCCACATTACGTTCGTTATGAACGTATCTCAAATACGTTTATTTTCTACATATCTTCTAGAAACGTCTTTTCTCCCACGTTACGTTCCTTATGAACGTATCTTAAATACGTTTATTTTCTACATATCTTTGCCATTTATTGTCTTGCTTATAATAATGATAGTAGTCATTTATAAATATCATTTTAGAGCACACCTTTGAAATCGACAATCGGGCTCGATATAGGCTATGGTTAAATTAAAATCAGTAGGCGAGGCTGTAATTTCGCCAGCTGTTACTCTCATGAGCGAGGCAGAAAATAATAGTTTTAACATGACAAAAAGCTGCTGTGTCGTTTATTGCACCTCAAACATTAAAACAGATCCAGAGTTACGTGTTTCTGTACTTCCTCGAAGAAGAAAGGACAGTAACAGAAGAGCTCTGTGGCTTCAGGCTTGATCGCTGTTCAAATGACAGCGTTGGTTTCCCCAAAAGTGCGCGGGGCTGTAAAGTGAAGTAGATTTTACTCTCATCTATTATTCAAAACCATTCTATTTATTCTAACGTAAATTACATGCCAGTGTTTTATCTTTTTATTTATTTGTTTTTATTTTAAATCGTATAATGTCGGACTTTCTTTGTCTTCTTTGAGGAAAATAAATGGGGCTTAGAGCCT